CAAATTTCACATGCTTGTACGTGAATGACAATGTCAATGCTGTTGGCGCGCGCGCTTACTGAAACAGTTCTAGACCACGCTCAGAACATTTCAGCACTCCAGCTGCTCTGCTTGTGGAGTTACATCAAACCTAACGTGCTCGTGCGTGAGTAGCAACGTGAATATGCGTACAACATGAAAGGAACATGAAAGTCGTCTTCGCGTGCGCATGTGGTCAAAGGTTACCGTCAGTCATGCTCAGGATAACGAAAAAGCAGCAGCACTACGAAAACCAACAACAACTATGGCAGCGGCACGAGCAGGCGCAGCAACGGGGGTGTAAAAGGGAAAAAACCTAAAGGGAAAAAGAGGGGATAATACTGGTGAGGACTGCGGGCAGTGGGCGAACGATTCGCCCCCACCACTCAGTCCCAGTGAGTGGAAGACTGCTGAGCTCCGTGCCCAAATCATACGCTTATATAGGGGAAGTAAATGGGCGTTGCTAACGTAGGTGTATAGACAACCTTAACCGGGCTGTAAAATGTGCCTACCGTATACCTAGCAGACCACATACGGATAACCTGAGAGGCCACAAAACTCCTTCCCTTTCCGTTTTTTTTAGGTTTCAATAGCCCTCATCGTATTTGCAGCACAGGGCTTAACGGGCAACCCTACCCCGCGTCCACACAAAAAATTTTTGGCTAGTCGTGTAAGACACGAGCCGAGCCGAGTTTTAGTAATTGCAGAAGTAAAAGCAAGGAGGGCAAGCGCTTTACCCCCCGACCACACGTTCCACTTGCCGTGCATTGGGCAACGCTACCCCGCACAAGCGGCAAAGTGCCAAGCGGAATCGGTGAGATTCGCCGCGAAATAGCGTTGGTGAGAAGATTAGAGTAATGGCTGAGCCGAGTTTTAATAACTGCCCTAAGAAAGCAAAACAGTAAACGCTGACTGTAGTAGCCAAAGCGACGGAATGCAGGATGTTTACAGTATCGATTAGGGACTGTAGATGCAATCAGACTCAGCGTCAGCATGTAATTACAACGACGTGCAGCATGTAATTACAACCGCGCAAGAAAGAGAAGTCCGATGGGCAGGAGATGTTGTTAATATTGTGTATCAGTGAACGATACCCGCCACAAAGTAAATAACCACTTGGACTGTTGAAGAAGCGGCATACACACATCGAACAAGCGAAAATTATTAATTGCAAGTGTGCAAAAGGAACCTGTATAGCTGCAGTGGGAATGAGGGAAACACCAACAGCATAAAATCCTCAACTGTCGGTTCAGTTTTTAGGCTTTTTTGCATACATGATGATGCAAAAACGCATATTGTTACGACTCGGAGTGTGTGTGTGCACGCGCGCGCGTCTATTCGGGTATTTGAACTCGAAAGCCAATTAAGCCTTGGGGCCAAAATTTTGCTAGTGGGTTCCCCGGCCAAGTTGGCCGTAGCACCAAAACTCACGCAAGCCTAGGCTCCGCGTAAGAAAGTTTTAGCGGGAGAATCGCTAACTCAAGAGCCAGGAAAGCTAGAAAACTGAAATCATGAAGCTGTGTTCCCTATCCACAGAGAACTCAAAGTTTTCAAACTCAGCCCCCAAGTATGCGTGGTTTTCACGCACGGCCCGTGAAAGGTTTTGGCGGGGAAATCGCTAATTAAAGAGCCAGAAAAGACAGCTGAAATTCTGAGGGAATATTCCCTGACCAAGCATCATGTAACTGCACAATAAATTTCCTGAAATTCGAGGGCCAGTGTGCTGTAAATTCTAGCTACTGGAACTCGAAGCGACCTTACAGCATCAGGAAATACTACAGAAACACATGACTGCACAGGCCCGCCCGGTGCGCTTCGCCAGTGATTACTATCTAAATGACTGTCCTACCAATATGAATAGTTTTTTAGTATCCAGAAACCATCAGCATCTTTGTGTAACGAGGGGTACCCTAGCATGAGCTTGCTGTTCAAAATTATTACGTACTCGCAAATTAATGAAAAAGACGGAAGTGTGGGTAAGAACAAAGCCAATTCTTAATGTCGCCTAATAAACAGTAAAGAGTGAATTTAAAGCAAATGTTCAAAACTATTCTTACATACCCATAACAATGAGATCAACAAGACAAAAAACGGCGTTCAAGGCTACAAATTTAAATACTACAGTTGGCCGCACTGCTGAAACTCACTGTAAATTAGGCGATCTCTTGATCTTTCATTCCGACATATTTACAGTGAATTTCTAAATCTGATTAAATAGCAAGGAGCGAAAACAGACATCACATTTACGAACTTTGGTCCCTGTCAGATTTCTCTCCAGCACTATGCGAGTCCTTTTCAAAAATAAAGGGACAAGGCATCCCGAGCCCCAGAAAGCTACTTAGTTCTGAAACGGTCTTGCACGTGGGCTCTTGGCGTGAAGTTGTGGAAGTATTTTTTCGAAATGATTGTCCGGGAAGGTAGTCACAAGAAGTCTTTCAAAAATCACGTAAAGCAATCTTCGGTTGAGCCTACTGTTTTGAAATGCCTCCGATATATTTCCGATTCCCACATTCGTCGTTTCGGTGCCTATAAATAGCCGTAACTCGTCAGGCAGCGCACTCAACATCAAAGCTCTGGCCAAAACTCGCGTTCTCATTTGCTCGCTCTCTGAACGACACTCGCTGTTCTCCGCCAGTTGCCCGTCTGGCCAAAGCGCATTTCTGCAAAATAAACAGGAATTTTTTAAATACTTTAACGATTAAATGCTATTCTATGCCAGCAGTGTTCGCCCTCCACTCTTGCTACTTCCTCTTGTTCAGGAATTCCACGGCATCAATCCGCCCACCCGTTTTTTATGCAATTTGTTCCATGCAATAGCTGTGAACAACAAAATGTCAAGTGTCTGAGTGCACTTTTTCCTCATTTTTCAACTCGAGAACCACAAAAACTAGGAAGCTAAACTTTTAGGAGGGTGCTTCCTGCCCACGCGCGACTCCACAAAATTTAGCGTCAGCGTTCATGTGCTCCTAGTCTCGCGCGCGGTCGCGCTAAAATTTTGACGCCAAAATCAACAGCTCGGGAACCAGACAAAACAGGAAGCCGAAATTTGAACAAGATGTTTTCTGGACTTAAATTCAGTCCCCGCGTGTTCCTAAAACTCACGCACAACCACGTAGCGTCAAAACCAATAAGTCGGGAATCAGGGGAGCTAAGAAGCTGTAATTTGGCCCTTGTATGATTCCATAAATTTAAAATTCAGGCCCCGCGTGAACTCCATCCTCACGCACCGCCACGTGATATTTCTGGAACTAAGACTAATTCGAGAGCCACGAAAACCATGAAGTTTTCGGGGAAAGTTTCCCACTCACGTGTGATCCCGCAAATTTAATTTCACTTCTTGCTTAAGCCTAGGTGTTACGTATGGTCATACTAGGTGTTACGTATGGTCGTTACGTATGGCCATACTGTTTCGGCACCAAAAATAACTCGGTAATAAGAGAAGCTAGGAAGATGAGATTTGGAGAAGACGTCTCCTAGCTGCATGTGATCATTCAGACTTAAATTCAGCCCCCGCGTATGTCTAGATCTCATGTATAATCCCGTGAAATGCTCGATATTACCAATTAATAACTCAAGAACCACTAAAGCTAAGAAGCTTCGGGGACATGCACCTTGCCTACGCGTGATCCTGCAAATTTAATTTCAGTCTTCGCATAGGCGTAGGTCTCACGTGCGGTTGCGCCAAGATTTCAGCACCAAAAAAACTCCGAGACCACAAAAGCTAGGAAATGGAAATTTTGGGGTAATATTGCAAACCCATGTCCGATTCCAAAAATTTAAATTCAGTCCCTCCACCCTTGCATTTAAACTTGATGTAGAGGCCACGTGGAAGTTTTGGCACGAAATTTTAAATTCGGGAACCGACAAGGTAGAAAATCTGCTATGGTGTTTCCAGTGCGTGAACAATCCTGGAAAATGAAA